GCCTCTCTGTAACGGCTGCGCTCGGTTAACGGCCGGGGCGGGTAGCCGGTTCCGTTAGGAACATTCCTGTTACTGGTTCCCATCTCAAGTACCAGCATCCTGGGCCGTTTCCCACTAACACACGGAACACGGTGTTTCCCACTGCTTGTCTGGCGTTCTCCTGGTGTTTTCTTGTTCCTTCGTCTTGCCGTGACAATTAATAGCAGTAACGAGCATATAACAGCAGTACCGTTTTGTGCTTTTCTCCGTTGCGCTAATGATCCTCCTTAAAATGAAGCTTTTAATAATCTGGATTATACTAGCAGTTCCTCATTTGATGCCTAGTTTTACTATACTACTGGAGTTGGTAATCAAAACTTAACATTCTAGCAGAAAGTCAAAGCGACTTTACCAATTTGGCCTGGAGGAGGTTATCCCAGGAAGCTTGACAAGCTGCAATAACAATAAATGAGCTATAAGAAGTGATCTGATCTAGCAAATGTATTGTACAAAACCCGCTTTACTTGCAAACCTGCAAAAAGCAGGTAGTGCTTCACTTGTAACATTGTTAGGTAGCAAATTGTGAACAAGCAGATCCCTATCATTAACTAAGCCTGGTTTCCTGTGGATTGTGTGTCCTGCATTAATTTGGCCTGGAGCAGCTTATCCCAGGAAGCTTGACAAGCTGAAATAACAATAAGTGAGCTATAAGCAGTGATCTGATCTAGTAAACATATTGTACAAAACCCGCTTTACTTGCAAACCTGCAAAAAGCAGGTAGTGCTTGTAACACTGTTAGGTAGCAAATTATGAACAAGCGGATCCCTATCATTAACTAAGCCCGGTTTCCTGTGGATTGTGTGTCCTGCATCCTGTACATACTCTCACACTGGTAACTCTGCCTTGTTCCCTCCCATGCAAACTAGTCTTTTGAGCTCCCTCTTCCATTGCTGTCATAGCCAGTCCTGTAAGCACTAGCACAAGAGAAGCTCCTCATGCTGCAGCTGAGCCCGTTTTGGCGCGTGCTCATTAGCCATTTGGAGCAGTTTATCTGGAGCAATATAGCCCTGTAGACTCATGTTGCAGACTTTAAAGGAGCACAGATTTAGACCCATCTCCTCAGCCTACCATACTGTATAAAACTAGACTGCATACGAGGCCCCTACGTTTCTCTCAAGTTTTACTGAATTGTTTGCTAGAAGTGGATGCCAGAAGTTTTTGAGCACGTGTGGCTTGGGAGGGAAGGGAGACGGACAGGCACCCTAGAAGTGTTCAACCTTGTTTCCTTACAAAATTAGCTAAAAATTGCATTGATAATTTGAAGGGCTTTAGTTGTTGCAATAACATTACTTTGTATCATTGTACAAAACACTTTATAACTACTTTCATCAGCAAAATATATGAACGATAATCTCAGCTCCTCCCTCATCCCATGCTTGTCAGGGGACTGACAAGCACTGACACACTAGCTCTTGTTTAGGCTTTTACATTTGATGTATTTGACCCTGCATGATCCCTTGTACTGAAGGGAATAGGGATGCTCAGAAATCGGTACCCCTTTCTAGTATTGGTCACTCTATTATTTCTCTATCAGGTTTCCCTCGCCCATCAAGAATCAAGTGACTTCAGTCTGTGCTCAGAGAACAGTGTCAAGAGGATCTGAAAGCTTGTCAATAACTGTAAGTAAATATATCTTAGGCTGGCAAGAACATTTTTGCCTGAATCAGGTTAGTGCTTTTAGCGGATTTTTGTAAGATTTGTAATTGCTTTATATCCAATAAAAATAATACCAAATAAACCAAAGGCTCATGTTTAAAACTGATTATTTTAACCTTGCGTTTCTAGGCTTTTCTCTTTGTGTTAGGCACTTATGCATGCAATTATGTTTGAATTTGTAAGTATATGCATCACTGAGAAATATCATCATCAACAAACAAGATTTGCTGTGATCTAAAAGCTTAGCTTGTTTACCTTCAAAAAGATAGCTTGAAATTAAGCACACATGGAAGAGTTTACTGCTTCTGGGATGTAAATACAAAGATCTTATGGTTTCCTGTTAATTTTTGTTAACTAAACTGGAACTAATTCTTCCCTGCCCCATAACATTTCTGTTCAGAAATTAGATGGTGTTGGTTACCAGAGCTCGGGATTTGCTTACTTGCTTTTAAAACTTTGAATTCTAATGAATCTTCCAGACACCCGCTTTCAATCTAACTGTAGCGGGTCTTTGATAGCCGTGTTAAAAGCAGAAAATACCAGAAGCTGCAAAATAATTTCTGTTATTTCTAGTTTTACTGCAGAACAGCATGCAGTTCAAAATGGCAGATGTTACTGAAAGGAAGTTCAAGCTTTAGCCAGCGCTGGCCATTGTTGCTCTTTGCCACAAAGGGAAATGTTGTTATTTCCAGTTTCCTTATCCACAGGTTTTCTTTCACTGTATTGCCCTTTCCCGTTTGTGGGAGAAGAGCCATGAAGAACCGTTCCTCATCTCCCCCCTTGCACGTTCATGTGGATGAAAACACCCCTGTCCATGTCCATATTAAAAAGGGTCAGAAAACAACACCTACAAAATGCCAGGTATGAGTGTGTAGCTGCTTGTGTGTCCTCTGCAAATGAGGAAAGCGAAAGGTCCTAGGAACACCACTCAGTCTTCAAGGTTTGCTTTGGCTTTTATATTAGAACTGTAAAACTCATTACCTTATTAACTTTATTCATATTCAGTGATGATTTATCAGTAGCATTTTCTCTAAGATTATTTAGGTATGATACTGAATATGTAGTTAGTTTTCATGGCTTGGTTATAATGTTAAAATTTATGGTTGTGTGAAGTATTGCTTCTGATAATTTTTAGATAATAATTAAAAAAACTTACAAATATTTAAACTTTGCATTACATGGCCCTCTGCATTACAATTTAGGTAAGTAAAATAAATGACTTAGAGTAGTGCCTCAGCCATGACAAACCCTGAAATAAAATTCACCTTTTAGTGTTGAGTCCTAGCAAATGGAGGCTTTTGTACATCTGCTAACAAAAACTTTTCCTGTCCTTTTACCTGAAGCCTGGGGAAGTCCTGCTCCAACGCTCTGTGGGTCTGAGGATTTTCTTCCCTCTTATTTCCTTGAATTTGTGCCATGATAATCAAACATTTGGTTCTTTTTTGGCTTCATCTCCGAACTCTTTCTTTAACAACAACAACAACAAAAAGAGGAATAGCTGGGCATTACAAGTTACCTGTTGTATTAAATTATGTACTTAGGGAAAAAGAGAGGCTTGAGCCTTCTACCATGTTCCTATTTTGCAATGTGACAAAGATGATTTCTTGGTAGCCTTATCCGCAATAGACTAGGAGGTGATAGTGAAGTAGATTTGCTCGCCATATGATATCCTGCCTTGCAGATGGATGTTGTTTATGTGAAAGTATCCTCAAAAGGTGATGGAAGTTGCTAGCTCATTCTTCCTCATATCTAGAGATGTTTTAAACCCTCTATTAATTTGTATGCTTATTGCCAATGGCAAGTATGGAGCCCCTCAAATTCAGTTCAAATAAACGTGGATATACTAGTAAAACACTTTGGCGGCTTTTTGTAACCAAGTAGACTTTTTTTTTTTTTTTTTTTTTTTTTTTCTCTTTCTGGTAGGGCTGCTGTTTTAGGATCTGGATCCAGAATGGAGAAGGGATATCCCATGTCATTCCTTTTGCACCTAAATGGATCGTATTACAATATTTTTTGTTTTCCTTCGTACAGAGGACACGATTTATTATTATTTTTTTGTTCTCACCCCCACACCCCACCCCAGGCCTGCCAAGTGACTAAGGTTCTCATTGCATCACAGGCACAGAGTTCCCCATGATGTCACAGAGTTGCTATGTGATAAATAGCAAGAATGTGCCCCTCCTGCCATTCCGTCACCTGAATATGCACTAACCTTTCCTCTGGCTGGTGTTCCCCCGTGACCGCTGCTTCCTCAGCTAAGATGAGCTGCCTGATCTGGTGTATCATGTGAAACACTAGGTGATATTTTTGCAACCCTGAGCTTTCTTTTGTTTTAATGGCACTGAAGATTTAAATGATTCCTATAAAGCCTGTGACTTATTTTATTCTTTCCCCTTCTTCAGCAAAAGCACAAACAGAGAACAAGAGGGGATACTGTGAGCATGCGCCGAAATGTCCGGGTGAAAACGAAGGCCCCCTGGGTGCCCCCAGGCAAAACATCTGTCCGGGAGACCACCTACAAATGGGAGGTATGGTTGATTCTGCTTCCTCTTTAAAGCAAACTTTCAGGTTTATCTGAGGCTGAAGAAAAACAGTTGGGTAATGGCAGGCTGGAGGAAAGCGTACTCATGTGAGAGAAGGGCACTGTCACCTTGCATTCATTTGGGTATCTCATACTTATCCTTTTCACTTTTTCATAAATAAAAATTGATGGCCTATATGGCCATCTCATATGTTTCTGTCTTAAAGCAAAACAAGCAACAGAAAAGATCCTTTTGTTTATTATATTTCAACTCCTTCAAAATCTCATATGGAGCACAGAAGGGAACTGCTGCTGTTTGTCTTTTCTGAAATGTGGAACATTTGTGTAGGAATGTGTAATACTTTTTTTTTTTTCATAACTCAACAATATTGTCTTTTGCACTACTGGATCATGCTAGATCGGAGCATTTGTGTAGAAATGTGTAATACTTTTTTTTTCATAACTCAACAATATTTTCTTTTGCACTACTGGATCATGCTAGATGACAATTTGAACTTCCATTATTTCTTCTTTTTCCTGTTTGAATGTTAAAGCACCCGTTGTGTGTGCTGGATTTTGCTTTCCTGTGTTCTTGACCTTTCCCTGACAGATGTGAAAGAGCTCTGTTCACGTTTTTTTTTTCTCCCTTCCTTCCAAATATTATTGCTAGTGATCTGACAGATGTGAAAAAGCTCTGTTCACATTTTTTTTTCTTCTTTCCTTCCTTCCAAATATTATTGCTAGTGATATGCACTGGTCTCTCTTTTTGGCGGAGTTAAGGTTAGAACATTGTTTATAATTTTTATATTTTAAAAAAAAATGCTTCAATGCTGCCTCTTATTGCTTTTCTACCAGGGACCAACTCACCGCCTAGAAATTACACCTTCAGATTCAGAAAAAATGTTGTCAGTGATGCGCCTTAGTGACCTCTCTACAGATGAGGAGGATGCTGTTTGCTGCAAAATGAGTGAATATGAAAAGAAGATTGATAGCTTGATGAACGTGGTGGGAACGCTGAAGAATGAGGTGAGGAGACTACGTAAAGGCCTGAAAGCTCAGACTTTGTAGCTGATTGTTTGGCAAGAGGAGGTTGGAGTCCTGTCTTGGTGGAATGGAACGCTACCCAGGCCCTTAGTTAACTGTCTTAAAGAGATTAATGCAATTTGTTTAAAGAGCTCATCTGCATAGAGAGAAACTCATTAATGCCTACTATGAAACATTTGATACCTTATCCATTTAAAAAAGGTTTTGCTTCATTTCCCAAATAATCTTGCTCCTGGTCAAGCCTAAAATCTGAAAACTGGTCATTTTCGAAAGTGAAAAATAATTGTATAAGGTATAATGATGGTTTATTACTTATTACTGTATTAGTTATTCAAAAAGACTGTTATGATTCTCTTTCCAAGTATGCAACACAGTGATGTGTTCTCCAGCTGAACAGCCTCTTAAGTACTTGACAGCATTTAGGAAATGGATAAAGAGGTTCCCAGACTCCATAAGATGCTCTATGGTGGTAACAAACTGCAGTTTTATTTTTCCTCTAAGTTTACATTGAGGATTGGAGATTTTGTATCTCTGTTGCTCTATCTGAGCTCCTTCCCTGTTAGGTCTCATGGACAGGTCACATCTTATGGCTGATTACAATTTTTAGTATCTAATTTAAAGCTAGGAAGTTTGAGTCCTCCTATTTCTTGTTTATGGGACACCAGTTATTTCCAGGTGGTAAGTAAAGTATGCCCCTTGTGATCCGTCTGGAAGTATCTAGACAAAAAAATATGTGGTTCTTTGCTATTACTATTTGCAATAGCTGGCTCAGTGGTTTGAGATCCGTTCCACTCAAAAAGCATCCGTTTTGTCTTAAGCTCTGTTTAAATGTATCTCTATCAGGCCAAGATGCAGAAACAGGAGGAACAGCAGCAAAGGACAAAACGTCTCCTAGAAGAGCAGAAAGAAGAACTGAATGAGGTCACTCAAGAGCTGGTGGAAACAGAACATGAGAACACACTGCTCAGACGCAATATTGAGCGCATGAAAGAGGAGAAAGATCTGACCATGTAAGCACCAGTTCTCCATTTTTGCTGCAAACAGTGGTATTTGCAGGGGACTTAGCATCTTCGTTTCTAACATCAAATAAAGGTGCAGTTTGTACCCTAGATCTGGATGGCATTTGCTGAAGAACAAACATTCTTGTTTCGTTTTGTTTTTCTTTTGTATTGAGTAAGGTAACTTCAGATGGTGGCAGCTGCAGAGAAGAGCTCTAACACGATTATTAACATTGAGAAAAATGCTTTGAGAGGAGTTTGAAAGAAGTTCACTTGAATTGGCCTACTAGAGGTTGTCTTGGCTCTGTTACTAGTGTTTTAAAGGTCAAGGGGTGTCAATCGGATTGTGAAAATGTTGGTACAGGAACAAATGAATAAAGATGGATCTGAGAATTAAGGGAGGGTTTTTGACCTTTATGGAAGTCATACTGAGATGAGAGTGACGGCTGTGGGAGCAATGAATTATGTTTTTCTTTTGGTGACTGTAAAAATCCCTTTCAGTTTGATGTACTTGTATCTGTCTCATGTGTGAAGAGTTAGGGAAGCTTCTCCTATTTTCCCCTTAAGAAAGATCACTTTGAAGTTAATACTATGTATATTTTTCTGAAAACTCTGTATACTTCTGAGACTTTCAATTACCTGTTAAAAATTCTGAGCGATAGATGTTGGTGTGCTTTCCTGCTCCACATTCAGACATCGCTCATTTGGAGGCTTATTTCTGGTAATGTCTTAAGTGCCTTTTCATGACTGAGTTCCTAGCAAGCTCCTGGAATCTACTGGCTTCTGTGAAAACAGCTTCCACACTGAGAGAGGGTGTATCTTAGTGGGTACTTCTTTAAAGCTTTTGTATTCCTGCTAAAGGGTTTTTATCCCTTTTGACGCTGGAAACACTGTGTCCATAGTGGCTGGTACAACTGTCACAGCTACTTGTTGCTCTGATGGCTGAATTCTCATTACAGGCTACAGAAAAAGTGCTTGCAGCGTGAGAAGGAGTGTCTGATGTCCAAGCTGAATGAAGCAGAGAGGGATGGAGCAGCAGCAGCCAAACAGATCGATGCTCTGAAAGATACAATCGGGAGACTCAACATTGTAGGTGTTGGCCGTTTTTATTCCTGCCTTTATTACGCTGTCCCGTTATACAGCTGCTTCAAAACTAATGGTCGTGTTGCTGATGCAGAGAAACATAAGGACATGTGGAGGGATTTAACATGCTTAAGGTGTTTGCTAAACCTGTTGGGAATTGGGATGTTTATTTGCAGCATCCCCACACCCTTCTGCACATACAGTGATGACTATTGCACTGCTTGTGCTTATGTCAACTTCACAGCTTAATTCCAGACTGAGACGTTGCATGTGAGCACATCTCCCTTTTTCTTAGGAGAAACACATGAGCAGCTCGGATATTAACACACTGACAAGACAAAAAGAGCTGCTGCTACAGAAATTGAGCACCTTTGAAGAAACCAACCGGACACTCCGAGAACTTCTTAAAGAGCAGCAAACCCGGGAGGTGAGCGGTGCTGTGTGCTTGAGCTGGGATGACTACAGGAGGCAAATACTGTCTTCTGGCCTGAAAATTGAACTTGAGTTTGGGAGCTTTTAACTGTTGTTTGTCCTCAACTTTGCTGCTGGTCTTGTGTTATAAAGGATGGATTATTTCGTTCTCTCTGCCTGCTTCAATGAAGTCAGACTGGGATTTTGTAGCATCTAAGTCTTTTATTGCATTAAAAGGCTCTACTGTCTAGCCAAGTCTTTCTCATCTGGGTACAGCTGTGTTTGCAGATCTTATACTTGTATCTGTACTATACTCCCCATTGGTTCTGTCTTCAGCATCTCCACCAACACTTCTGCTAATCATGCTAGTCTGAAATATTGCTGCTGTAGTTTTGTTGCCTGAAGTCTGAGGGCTAGAAGTAACATAAATATGTTCAAAATACTATTTTCAGAAGGTGAACTGTACAAACAGTAAACAGAAGTGCAATTACTATTATTTCTGTAGCTTGTATCCCATTTGAGTAAAAGCAGGGCAATCGTAATAGTTCTTTTCTCCATGCTCACTAGAAGCTGATAAAATTAAGTGCCATTTTGTGCATTTCCCTCAATAGTGAAAGTATTTTTAAAGATTTTAAATTGACATTGTGCTTTTTAATATCATCCTTGGGATTGGAAAAGAGGAAAAGCTTTTTGGGATCTGATGTTATGTAAAACATGTAGTCAAACTAATGCTTTTTGGTATCTTCTGAGAACTGCTGCTGCAACAGGAGGAGGATGGTTGATTTCCCCAGTTCCATCTGAAGAATTTATATAAAATACTGATTGCTTTGGAGGGCTGGTTCTTTGTGAATAAAAAGTGAACATGGCTTCTGGGTTAACAATTTTTCTTGCATATTCCTCTTGTAGAAGGATGCTCAGAAGATATTGGAGCAACAGGGAACACTGCTGAAAAGGCTGGCTGATGCAGATGCAGAGAAAGTGGTAAGCAAGACAATTTTTTTTTCCCTAAGGAATGATAAAGCAGATAGTTGAAACTGCAAGCTCTTCTTTGACATTTGTTCAGCCACCAAGTTTTACACCAATGTCAAAAAAGGTTATTGTTCGAGTGAGAGGCATTACAGTGTCCCTCTGATTAACAACCTACTGTGCTTCAAAGTGGTTAGATTTTCATAGCCGTAAGTGTACAGCGATGCTTTACAGTACTCAACTGTTTAAAAAAAAATGATATTTCTCAGTAGAAACATAAATGATTCTGCCTACTTTTTCATGTGGTACTGAATGTACAGAGCAGGAATTGTGCTATGTGTGTCTTTAAAAAGAAATCTCTGGGGGTGGGGAAGAAAATATCCATCACTAAAATAGCCCTGACAGCTGGGATAGAATTTTACAGCTTTCACTATGGAAATCATCTTAGAGATAGTAAAGCAGAAGAGGGCCGGTTTTCTGTTCCTGCTTCTGGTACTGAGTGAATGACCTAGTGCCAGGTTTTGTTTGTTGCCTTATCTGTAAGCTGAAAAATAGTTCTGGTATTGCCAGAAGTTTTTAAACACTTTGAAATGTGAGCAGTGCATTTTTTTGGCTGTGGAGTGCTAGTGCTAGTAACTAGTGCTGTTCGGTTCTCGTTCTTGGGTGGCCTTGCTACACAGTTGCATTGGCTTCCATTTTGCTTTCTGCTTGAGAAGAATGGAGACAATTTTGTCCTAGGCTGTGGAAGCTGTTGCTGTGGATACCAGACTGAGAGTTCTGTGCATCAAAGGGGCCTGGGAGAGAACCAATTCTCCCCCTCTCCCCCCCACCCAACTTATATGTTTTTTTTTTCTTAAAATATAAGTGATGTTTTGTTTTCTAGCAACTCCAGATGATGCTTCAGGAAAAAGAAAAAGAGGTGGATGACCTTACCGTTCAGATACGGACAGAGAAGGTAGCTGCCTTCGTCTGTTCTCCCCTTCCTGCTCTAACCTCCAGCTCTGCGGAGGCACAGATAACCCAATGTATAGGTCTGGTCTTGTAGACAGTTATTCTTTAAGGGATCAAATGACTGGCTTCCATAAGAGCAGACAGAGAGCCACCCGTTTCCCCCACAGTTGTGGATTTAAAATCTTATTAATAAAAATTCCATCATAAAGATGACCAGGTAGTATTCTCTTTTTGTCCAGGCTTATCCGTAAATTGCCTTTCTGTCTAAGGTTCTCCTGGTCTCTAATGTCAAATTCCACTCTGTTCCTCTACATAGGAAGTAGAAGGGAAATGTGATGGAAAAGACAGATGTGACGGATATTTTGTCTAAAACAAATCTTTCAAGCTAATTCATTCATATCTGATGTAAAAGAAATGGCTGCTCATTTGTTGCTTGTTTGGGTAGTGAAAAGGAGCTAGTGAGGGTCCCTCTGAGGCAAGTGAAGGTGGCTGGAGATAGTTTCAGACTTCTGCACTGAATGTTCACAGAAAAAAGTGTTTCTTCTACTTGTTTGCATCAAAAGAAAGTGCGTGCCCTGTTTTGAGTGTTTGTTTCATATTTAGGACCAGGCAAAGACGGCATGTGAGCTCTCCAAATCTATGGAGGCCGTGAGAGGCCATTTACAAGCGCAACTGCGAAATAAAGAAGCTGAAAACAACCGTCTGAGTATCCAGATCCGGGTACGTTTTCAGTGATCTCAGGATTGTCTTTTCATTTATATTCAGGAGAAAAATCAACTGAAAAGGGAAATAGAATTCTCCAACTATTTTTCTGCTTTGTCTGGTAGACTGGAATACTACCCAGTGCTGTTTATGTCATATTAGTATATACTGTACTTCTCAGTTGAAGTAAGAAAAGAAAAATCTTTTTACTTCTGATGGCATGAGGCAAAATCATAAGCTTAGATTTTTTTTTTCCAAGTTCATTAATATGTAATTAAATAAATGTAATATGTGATATGTTTAAATTAGGTATCAAGGCAATTGTAAACAATTTAATTTGTTTTCTTGGAAAACAATGCTGTGCCATGAGTTCCTGTGTTTGATTAAACTCACAATTAATGAGGAGGAGAGTGTTCCCCTGGTCTATCTTGATTTAAAGTCTTATGCTTAACTTATCCATTGATGTAAAGAACATAACTGTGATAATGGTTTAGAAAAGCTTTAATTCTCTTAAGGAATACAACTTAATATAGCCATATTATTCCAGATGAGCATTTGGGCTAAAACAAGAATGTGCTTGGGTAGCTTGAAAGGCTGTTTGCTATTATCAGTTTTGGTCAGGAGAAGAAACTGGTATTATGGACACAGGAGCTCATGAAAGAACAAATTAAGACTCTTTCAGAAACCCTACAACTAGCAAGAAACAGCGAGATAATTTTAGTTTTGAAGTACTGAGAGGTCAATAGAGTTGCCCTACTTTTAAATGAGGTCACTGTTTGCCTCATTTCTTTCGAGTTTGACAGGCATTTGAGGGAGTCTACTTTTTGATTGTGGTGTGTAACATCTTTTAGATCAAGTTGGAAATACTGGATATAACTTCTGTTTTTTAACATTTGTAAAAATCAGCTGAGTTTTTTGGGAAAAAAGGTCTTTCCCAGGGGATTTCTTATTTTTGGCACCTTCGAACTTTTTTTTTTCTGCATCATTACTTTGCAAGTTGCAGTGAAGGGAGTTGTTTCTGTGTGTCTGGAATACACTGTGACTTTTTGTTTAAAAGCAAACAATATTGGCATTGAGGCTATAGCTTTTTCAGCGTTGCAGAGGTCATGCTGACATGCTTGCCAGTGTTAGGACTGTGCAAATGAAATGAGATTACAAGTACCTTCAGACTGAAAGCTTGAGGACTTACGCCCATGTCTTTCCATGCTTGCTAGGAAATTAGTTGACCATTTGAGGGTTTAGGTACAAGGTGGTTATTCCCTGTGCTGTGCTTCTTCCCCACTGCAGAATCTGGAGCGCAATGGAGCTCAGCATAAGGTAGAGGTGGAACATATCATGGAACAGTTGAAGGAGGTAAGGCAGAAGGCAGACCGTGATAAGGAGGCCCTGAAGAAAGCCATCCGTGCCCAGAAAGACCGGGCAGAGCGGAGTGAGGAGTACGCAGAGCACTTGAATGTCCAGCTGGCAGAAAAGGTACCGGATAGTAGGAGAACAAGGGGTGTCTCTTCAGATCCTGCATCTAAATCCTTGACTTCTGGTATCAGCCCTGGGGAGAGAATCTGCTTTCAACTAATGAGATTTATTTTTGTCCTGATGCTTTGGCCCATTTATGCTAAGTTTAGAACAAACCCAATTTTCTGAGCTGTCTATTCACTGAGCTATTACTATTCGCTGCAGTAGTCTCGGAGGTGAAATATCTTGGATCATACTAAATTAAGAGATCTGATTTTTCATCTGGTTCTCTAGTATAATCCAAAGGTTGATGGAAGCCAATAAGACATTGTGGTTTTGCCTGAAAATTCTGAATGGAATTGGCTGTTAAACAAAAAGCTATGCAGAACAGAAAAGTATGCAGAACAGTTAGAGATGCACTGAAACTTCCTGATGAAAAAAATGCCAAAGGATATCAAACAAAAGCAGAAAAGTAAGATGAAGACAAATCAGAAGGAACATGGATGTGATGCTACCTGATTCTTCCCTGCTTTAAAATTCTTATTCTTCTTTAAAATTCCAGGGACCAGAGCCTCGACTGAAATCTTAGCCATACTTTGTATTTCTGGTAATTGATTTGCTGTCTTCAAAGAGGATTCCCCTTTCTTTGCTTATTGTGTGTACTGTCTGGTATTAATATTGTAGAATGGCTTCTGTAAAGGGTCGAGAAGAATTGAAATAAGTCTCTTTGGTAAAGCCTCAGTTAACTCCACACACATATCAGTGTTTCACCATATTGTACCAATTATGTTTTTGTCATTATTGCTCTTTCTCCTGTATTTAATTTTCTTCTTTTAACAGGACAGTTATGTTGCTGAGGCACTGTCTACTCTGGAGTCCTGGAGGAGTCGCTACAACAAAGTAGTGAAGGACAAGAGCGACCTCGAACTGGAAATTATTATGCTGAACAGGTTAAATAAAAAATTAGTGTGGAGAAACTGGCAGAAGTGGGGATGAGTTCCTAGTTCAAGAGTGAATCAATGGAATTTCCAAGTTTGTCTGTAAATATCCAGGAAAACAAAAATATTACTATCTAAGGGTTAGAAGAGAGACTGGAGAGAGAAGGATGTGGTTTCTGCTGCTGGATTGTCACAACAAAGGGCTTTCTGATAGTTAGGTATCTTCATTCCTTTGCCTTTCTGTGATTCTTTAAAATAATTTAGGTGAAGCGTTAAGCTTAATTAAAAGTCCCCTTTTGAGATGTTTGAGATCCTTGAATGAAAGGGGTTAGAAGTAACAGGCAGTATAGTTCATGCCAATCTTCTTATGAAGAAAATCTTCAAATAAATCTGTCAGTATCCCTCCATTACAGTTGTTGCTGCAGGGAAAAAAATGTAGGTGTGTGGCACAAGAGAAATTCCTCTTTATTCTGCAATCCTGGGGGCAATGCATCTGAGCTCGAGGTAACAGTTCCAGTGACTTTCTAGTAGGCCAAGGAGATCAAGAGAGTATAGCAGCATGAAACATAGGTGTGCACAGCTGCATGGAGGGCAAGATAAAAGGGTAGGGAAAAGCCATGTTTCTGAAGCTAAGTTTCATGGACGAGGGAGTCGTCTTTATTTTCTTAATCATTTAAGGATTAATTTTCTTTGTATGGCAGCCGTATTACAGACTTGCTGGAAGAGCAGAAAACCCTGGAGGAGAAGATGCGAGAGGACAGAGATGTCTTGGTGGATAAATTGCATCGACAGGCCACAGAAACCACTTCCTTCAAAATGGAGAACGAAAGGCTGAAGGTTGGTGATTCCAGGGTTTGGACTTGAAATGCTAGAGCAAAAGGAAGGAGTTACAATAAGTTGCTTTGCTTCTGAAGACAGAGGTGAACTGCCCCCATTGCTGCCAATTAGTTTTGAATCAATTTTGTCATAACTTGAGTGGGACAGGGCAAGCAAGCTGGTAAAAAACATAAGAAAGAGAAAAAGTGAGCAGTGTGGAAGGACTTGTTTTCTTCAGCATTTTGGGTAGAAGTATATCCAATCCCAAGTCCTGTACCATCCAGCTGAAATCTTGCATCTTGTAATAATCCTGCTGGCCAGAGATTAAAAACTGTAGTTTACCTAGAGAGAATGGCAGAAGAGTGACCTTGTAGGTGAACAATGTGATGCTTTGGTATAAATGTGCCAATCCATTGGAATCTGGAACACTTGACTATCTTAGGCAAACAAAAATTTATTCTTCATAATCTAGACAAATCTTAGCCATGTAATGTGGTAGTTATTTCCAAGCACTGACTGGAAGATGTTTTGTTTTTTTCAGGCTAGTGTAGTCCCAATGGAGGAAAAGCTGAACAAAGCACACTCGGAAGTGGAACAACTCAAGAGCTCTGTCAAGAATTACGAAGGGTTGATTGAAACCTACAAGTCACAGGTAGATTGTGCATCTTACGCAGTCTTTCAGTCCTTGCACAAAAGTGACCTCTCCTCTTCCTGTTATTTGCTGGCCTGCCTTAACCCTTTGTCTGCTCTCTGAGGATGTGCAGTTCCATATGTTTTAGGTCCTTGTCGCTTTGTTTTTTTTTCTTTCTTGCCTTTCAAATGGCAGCATTCAGATTGTCATGTGCCTTATGCCAAAGAGTGGAAGAGCTGCCTTCCTCTCTATGTGCTGATAATTAAATCATTAAGAAGAGCTGACTCACTGATAGATATCTTGATCAATAATAATTTTTAAAGACTAATTATTCCATTTTCCCTGCTCCTTTTCTTAAAAGATAAAGTATTCCTAGTCAGATGCTCTCTATTGCCCTTCAGTAGAGTAAATGCTGTTTCTTGACTGCTGCTTTAGGATGTGTGTATTGTGATGCTAGGAATATGGGGCAAAAGGAAGAGTAGGTTTTGTGGGAAGCTCAAGTGACCCTAGTAGGAGAGGCAGAAAGTGAACTTAGACTTAATCTGGGGTCATGCTTAGTCCTGTAAGAATCCTGTTGGTGATCCTTGAGCAGTTTTAATTGCTCCAAAGTACAGCATATGTTTTGAAAACTATAATAGATAAGTGATGTATGGCTTTTTTTGTATGCCCAGGTGTTGAAGAACCGAATGGAAGCAGATGATGTGACAGCAAAACTGGAGATCTGTGATAAAGAGAATAAGACATTAAAGAATGAAATGAACAAAGAGATTGAACTGGTAACTTTTTCTATCAGATTATATATTGCAGATATTCATGGATCCACCCTGTTCTTAATGTAGTGAATGGCTACAGATGGGAGGGGGAAAGCGGGGCTTATTTTACATCTGAGTTTGCACTTTTCATTAGTCTAGTTAAGGGGGTTTTTCATTCTGCAAAATGAATTGAACATTTAGCAATTTCTTTTGACGATATGTTGTCCTTCAGAGGTATTTTAGTATGCCCTTTGATGCAGAAATGACAGTTTAGAACAGTGGACTCTGTGGGTTGCACTGCTGTCTGTTGTGGACTAACTTTCCTCAGGAAAGAGCTTGTCTATTTACTAAAGATAAAGCCCAGGATCCTGAATGCTTAGTCATCCCCTTTCCACAGGGCATGCCAAGTCTTAAGAGAAAGCTTGCTGCAGTAGGAGGATACCCTGGGCTTTGAACTCCAGTACTTGCAAATATCCACACAGTGTCATTGTGGCAGCCAAAACAACCCCAAAACTCCACTGAAGTTAGTAACTTCTCTAAATATTATAAACATTTCAAAGTGTCTCATGCCCTTCTTTACCTGTCTCATAGGCTCGTCAGCAGTTCCAGAGCCAGCTTGCTGAGCTAGAAAAGCTTCCTGAGATCCTGAAGATCACAGAGTCACGGCTGGCTGAATGCCAGGACCAGCTTCAGAGTTATGAGAAAAAGAACGCGGACCTGTCTGTCATGATTACAGACCTTCGTCAGCGGGTAAGAGACTGGCAGAAAGTACCTGCAGCACAGCCACCTCCGAGTCCGAGATCAACATGAATTTCTAATCACAGGAAGGTTCAGACTTCGTCTCTGTTCATGTGTCTCGTTGAAATAATTAAACGTGCGCTGCAAAATAACCATGTGTGCCTGTCTTTGTGTAAGATAGCATAGTTAGTAGCATTCCCTGCTGTGTAAAAGGTTTCCTATGACTTGGTGTGAAATGTTACTGGAACTTAAATGGCAACACCTGCGAATACCAACACACATTTCCGTAACTTTCATCATCTTGTCAGCTTTCCCTCACTTTCCTTCTTTTTTTTTTTTTTTTTTCTGCTGGAAGTGCTGTCCTAACCTTGTTTTTTCATCATAATTTCAGGTTGTTCTTTTCCAAACCCTATTCTTTGTCCCTAGGAGGTGTGCAAGTGTTGCAGGCATGGCTTGCTATGCCTCAAGACACAGTGAATGATCCTGCAGCCTGAGTGCTTTACTTTGATTTGCTTGGAGTTACTAACTTGCATAGTATTTCAGGCTCTAATATTTTTGTGGGTTGCTCTCATGCATATGGCTGCTTTTAATCTATGTGCTTTACTGTTATGCTTACAGGTGACTCTTCTCTATGCAAGTGCTTACAGACCTGGTTGTTCATTAGTGATCTTGAAGAACTGGTCTAGAAATTAACTGAAAGCACCAACAAACTGGACTTTCAGTGCTTTGCTGTTCTACCCACTGTTCCTTTTCCAGGACTCTCCAGAAACCATGAATTGGGCATGTTTCTTTCTGGAGAGCAGTATGCATTTTCGGTGCTTGGCCATCGGTATGCAATGACTATTCTGTGAAGTAATTAATTACTGTAATTTTTAGATTGAGCTCCAGGGGGACAAAATGGAGATGACAAGAGAGAGGTATCAGTCTGCCCAGGAGGAGAATAAGCAGCTCACCTTGAAGGTGGAAGAGCTGGAAAGGTTAGAAATAATAGACACTCTTATTCTCTTAACCTTCCCTTTCCATCCTCTTTCCATTGTTTTTTTCAGGGGATTGAAACAGCTTCTGACCAACCTTGTTGTTCCAGTTCCCCACTTGCCTCTAGGATGCTTGTACATTTACCTATTCCACAATCTCTAATTAGAAACTTTCTGCTAGAAAGTGAGTTACAGAGTTTTGAAGCACTTTTTACTAATGTTGTCAAAAAGGATCATTGCTTAAGGCAAAAAAAAAAAACAAAAACAAACAAACAAAAAAACAAAAAAACCAACCCAGCTCCTCGTCCAATCTAGCCTGGCAGTTCTGAGGTTATTAACTATTATGATGTTTTTACCCATGCTTATATATACTTCTTAGTGATGATAGCTGGGAAAAGGCAAGTCTGTGAATACTCTAAGTCCCTCAACCTTTGAAATTTTAATCTGAGAAATGGAGATGTGTTTCTTGGGGCTCTGACCTTTTGAGGGGCAAAAGAATCTATTCACAGACTACTCAGAAACATGAAAAAAAAAGGCAAACTGAAATGCACTTCATTTAAAATGAATAGGCTTCCTTCCCTTATTGTCTTAATCTAGAAAACTACAGACAACGAGTGCCCAGAACATAGAATTCCTTCAGGTCATAGCAAAACGCGAGGAGTCAATTCACCAGTGTCAGCTGCGGCTAGAGGAGAAGACCCGTGAATGCAGCTCCTTGGCACGTCAGCTGGAGATGGCCATTGAGGATGCCAAAAGACAAGTAAGTGATTCCTTGTGTTTGTGAAACTTACCAAAATTACTTAGACTGTAAAAATGGGATAGCAAGAATCTCCTGAATCTGCCATTAAATCACTGCATGTGCAGTAAAATACAAAGGAGAAAATGACAGCACTTGAGCCTTCCAGAAAGGGAACCCTACTCTGCAGTTTGCAGCAGGACAGAGGAAAGCAGTAGATTGAGCTGCTGCTTATGTATGAAAACGAGTCTCCTTAAACTTTATAGGGCATTTGTGGGCAATGCAGTAGGGAAAAATTATTCTTCCATAGATAAGCCTTTGACAAAGTCACTGTTCTGTTACGTGTAGGTGGAACAAACACGAGAACGAGCAGCATCTAGAGAGAAGGCGGCCCAGTCCAAGGTGTTGGATTTGGAGACCCAACTGAGTAGGACTAAAACAGAGCTGAGCCAGTTGCGCCGGAGCAAAGATGATGTGAGTGATTTGCAAGAGATGCACTTGCTGTATTGGCAGTGTCCTGGCAGCTACTGGAGTTCATAAACCAAGCTCCTATGGGCATTGCACAGAAGACGTGTGGAGCTTTTTGCTATTTCCAGATTTGACATTCTGTCATGTGTCCACGACATGTCTGCTATGTTACTAACTCATGAATATGGAGCCTCATTCTATTATTTACATTTACTATTTTCACTGTATTATTTACATTATTTTTGAATTTAATTGCTCTAGACTGAGGAAGGATCTTTCATAATCTTCCATTTACTCTGTGTTTTTACTTGAGTTTTACTTGGAATTGGACTAGCACATGGATCAGCTCAAGTTCCTCTTTAGAGAAAAGCGTTTTATTCCTCAATCCTGGAGTTAACCACTTTAAAAGGCTCAACTGATTAGCTGTGTTATTTTCTATTTTTATCAGCAGGTTGATGAACCGAGTTGGGGATGAGCAGAACAAATTATAAATGTCATAATATTATGTGTAGCATCCACTGTGGTGTTAATTCTTGCTGTCCTCGGCGCTCTAGGGGAACAGCTTGAGGTTATTGTGACTGGGTTGAACACTGCTACCTTTCAGCCTGTTTTGTGCTTCTTCCTGTAGGCAGAACGCCGGTACGAAAGCCGCCTACAAGATTTAAAGGATCGGTTGGAGCAGTCGGAGAGCACCAACCGCAGCATGCAAAACTATGTCCAGTTCCTCAAGTCTTCCTATGCCAACGTTTTTGGAGAAAGTGCCTTGCTGAGCTCCTCCACCCGCTCTCGTTCTTCTCCATGAGCACTGTGCTCTCCCTGCCCCTCTGCTATTAAGCACAAAAGGAGCCAGGTTTCAAAGCCATATCTTATCTGGAAAGCAGGTTGCCATTTCAGGGTAGGGAGAAGTTTTCCTATTTTCCTTGCACCATGAGATGGTAAAAATCATGGTGGTATATGTCCTAAGCGTAGGGCAGTACTGGTATGGTATTGGACATTGGCACCACGCCATACACTATGCCCCAAAACCAGATGATTTTGAATATGCAGAAATACTATTTTTATCTTATAAAGTCCTTGTGGTTTCAGCTCTCAAAACCTGACAATGGTTTTGGTTGAGCATGTTAATGTTTTTTAGAGGTCTTTTCATTTTCATGTATCTTTCTTCGTTTCTGTGTTAGAGAGATCATGTTTCTGTGTGTGGTGTGTGTTTTCTTTTTTTTTTTTTTTGTTATTTGTATTATTTTTTACTATTGCACATTGATATAACTGATGGTGGGAGAGGGTCCACCCACCCAAAATGTGAAGATGAAAATAACTTAAGTGCCTGGGCTCTACACTTATAAAAAAAAATGATCTCCGGAACAACCACCCTGTTTGTAAACCGTTTTATACCAGCAGCAATGAATGCTATTTGCACTTGATTTTGTATACTCTAATCCTCAACTTTTGTCTCCACTGTGATCTCAATGCACATTAAAGCTTCTAACTTGCTTTATTCCCTCCAAACCAATTTCCCTGATCTCAATTATGCCCGGAACCAAGGCAAAACTCTCTGAACTCAGAGGAAAGTCTCTGGTTTAATCTCAGTGGGAGTCAAATTGGGGTCGCAGCCGATGCCATGGGAGCTGGGAGTTTGCGTGAAACGCTGGCCTGGGCTTAAGCCAATTTAAGAGCAGTTTTACTGCTGCTCGACTTCTTTGCTGAACCAAATCCCACCTTTTACAGGAAAACTAGGACATTTGTGCGATGTCTCCCTAAAACTCATGGGCTCTGGAGAGCCCTGGTCCTTCTGACCCCTGCTTCCTATGAGAAGAAAAATAAACACAGGTGGTTTTATTTTCATCTCTTTCATATCTAGTTACATGTGAAGCAGTCACGGAGCAGTCTTTGCCATAAGGATTTTCTACATTAATCATTATTTGAGAGCTCTGTTACTTTGTGTGCACGTGTGTAACACTTAAACTTCTCACTAAATAAAGGTGCTATGGCGCAAGGAGCAGTAAATGGCCTGTCCGTGGTGTTACAGGGAGTCCCCTTTCTTGGGAGATCTTTGGGCAAACCGAGGAATCAAAGGGGCGCTGGGGCTGGCAGGGAATCCGCCCCCGTTTGCGCAGCTTCTAGCCCGGGGGCGGCCTCGAA